TACACAACATTTACAACAGTCGTTCTTCATTGAGCTCTTCTAAGGTTGTACTTATTAATCATTCGACACAACTTTGATCTTCATTATGTGTTTTGATTATTTTACTTGTTTGAATCTAATCGATCATTCAACTTATCAACATGGAAGACCATGGCGGTAACATATGACACTTAGATATCAGACCATGGGGGTAACCCATGACATTTCAGGAAAAGACCATGGGGGTAGCCCATGGAAATTATATGTATGTTGCATGGTATTCTGCGATTGTATGTTATGTGATATTTTGGGAACTCACTAAGCTTTTGCTTACAATTTATTTGGTGGTTTCAGGTACTTTCGGTACTAAAGGGAAGGGTCGGGCTTGATGGATCAGCATTCACTCTCCAACATTTTCCGCACTCATTGATATGGATACTCTGATAATTTGACATATTTTGATGTAATGGATTTTTGGAAACAAATTATTATTGTAATTCCTACTTTTAAAAAAATGAAAAAATTTATCTGGTTTTTAAGTTTTTACACTTAGTAAGTTCCCCAATATATATCATACACAACACAACACAAATAAACATCTATGAGTTATCAGCAACCTTGGGGACTATCAACAGTCCCAGTGGGCAAACAACACGCCCGGTGGGTTGTCAACAACCTTGGAGACTATCAACAGTCTCAGTGGACAAACAACACGTCTGGTGGGTTATCAGCAACCCTGGAGACTATCAGCAATTTCAGTACATGATATCACATATCACAGTAACAACTAGCAAAACCCAACTGGTTAACACACACACACACACACACACACACATATATATATATATATATATATATAACACCATAAAGGCTCATACAAAAGTGAAAGAGTCACAAAGACATCTAGCATCCTACACACACAATTTAGTAAGTCGGCATTGTTGCCTTTGACTCACAAGCATATAGAGGAGGCTCACCTGGATCGAAGAACTCTGAAACGTACGACACGATCCTTTTTCTGCATTGCTTGCACCCATGAATCCACTAATACCAAAAGCAGATAAAATATTAATTAATAGCCTAAACCTCTCAATTTTGACCCAAGGTCAAACTTGGTCAAAAAGTCAATAGTTAACAGAAGTCAATGTCAACAAGTCAAACATTAGGCTAAGTACGCCCAAGGTATTCATCCCGAACGCATGGCATACTCACCATCCAGAAACGGAACCCCATACGAGTACGCGCAACATACTCAAAGTTACACCCAACATACTTAAAGTTACGCCTAGCGTACTCGGCTAGATGACATTTTTCCATTAAGTGCTTAATCTCTTAAGTCCTTTCATCAAACACTCAGATCTAGTCCCACAACACCATTCTAAGTTATAAAGTTTCCACCTTTATGACTTTCCATGTCTAGAAAAGGTCCAAAAGCCAAAACATTAACTTATTAATCCATTAAGACATCATGACACTTTCATGGAAGGAATAGAAGGATCAAGATCACATTTTTATGGATTCTAAAAGATCCATAATGTATAAAGTTTCCAACTTTATCAATTAGAACAATCCAACCACTAAGGTATAGCCTTTAAGTATCAAAGGGACCAAAAGTGCATCTTTTTCAACTTAAGCCATTGAGTCCAAGTCTCCAACATTCAAGTATGAACCACAATGATGTTTAGATGGATAAAGTTTCCAACATTATCCATAACAAAGTCACAAACTTCCAAGATCTAAACTTTATGCACTAAAATGACCAAAAGCTCATAAGATCCAAAACTAGCTAGATTTAATAAATACATCATTGAGATTCAAACTTTATACCTCTAGAAAAGAGATCAAGGTGAGAAAAGTCTGAATCTACAAGCTCCAATGCAAACAACACTTCTCCAATGAGCTCATTCTTCTACAGGATGCACCAAGAACACTTCAAAGCACTCAAAAACACCTTTTGCTAAAAATGCTCAAACTAGGGTTAGAAGTTTTCATAGGAGGGTGTTGGAGAGATGGATGATGAAAATGGAATGGGTTTAGGGAAGTTAAGGAGCTTAAATAAGGCTCAAACCACGAAAATAGGGTTTGGGCACTGATCGCGTACGTCCAACGTACTTAGGATGCCCTAGTACGCCCAACGTATGTGGCTTAACCCAAAACTGTCCAAACTTCAAAAGGTCGTAAATTCTTCGTTTCAACTCCGATTTCGACAATCTTTATATCACAGAAAGGTATTGAGGAGCTCTACGACCCTATCTAATTACTTTTGACTTAAAACACATCGAACTAAAATCCATAATTCATAAAAGAAGTCTAAAACACTACTTTTCCTATTTTACCCTCTGACTCCAAAGCACAAACCGAACTATTGAATCATATAATCTACGTTGCCCACATTCGAATGGGTCTAAACTTCTCTTTCCTAAAGCCCAAAGCCTTATGATACTTGATCTTCGGGTCTCGACCCCAAATTATGAAACGACTCGAAACAGGACATTAAACAAATCGTTGTAGTTGTTTTCCGTTATAACATCGTTCGCTTGCATCTAGTTAGGATATTTTGAGGTGTGGGTGTAGTATGGTGAATTATAACATGATTTTCTAAAGTAGGTGTGAGACCTATTTTGATAACATAAACAAATTGATTATCGAAAAAGCTCTCTTTCATTTATTCACAAAAACTAGTATATATACAAACTAGTAAACGTAATCCTCATTCTAAACAAACTCTAACCAAAATCGTATAAAATAGGAAAGATAAAAGGAAACAAATTATAGTAATCCTCTATGATAATAAGAATACTTTTTTTTTTCACATGTTAAATTTATAAGAATTATACAAGCTTATAAATTAATTAATAAATAACATTTTACATTGACCGAAAAGAAATGAACAATCAACTATCAATCTAACATAATAACTTAATAAAAACAGATTTGAAAAAAAGAGGTTTTCAACGCCGTATATTAACTGTATTCTACTAATTCATAAATATATTTTTAAAAAAAATATTATATATATATATATATATATATATATATATATATATATATATATATATATATATATATATATATATATATATATATATATATATAGTCGGTTTGACGTGTTGATCCGTGAACCCAAAAATGTAACCCAACCCGTTTACATTTTAGCAATTGCCAACACTATTGATTTCACGTCAGATCAAAGAGATGGTGTGAATAACTATATGGACGATGGATGATAATCATTAAACATGGTATGCTGATGATTTTAGTGTTACCAACAATTTGGTGTAATTGTAATAAACAGAAGTATCAAAAGGCTTTTAAGTCATGATTTAAAACAAACTAGGAGGTGCGGAGTGTACACTTGTATATATAAGACCAATTTGATCACATATACTACAAAATACAAGGGTCAAGGCGCGTCAGGGTTTCTATAAGAAAGAAACGCATACGAACATATCGACTAACTTGTGGAAAAGAAGATCAACACTTAGACCGACTGACATTTTTTCCGATGGATAAGTGGGAAACATGCATGTATCGATCTAATAAGAGTTTCCCCTCTAATGGGTTTGAGGAGTATATGGTCCAATGTGGAAGAGACCGTTTTAAAAGTTGTTTCATACAAAGTAACAAAACAAAAGAAAGCTTATATGGATAATCAACATATATGTATACCTTTCACGTTTGTGTTTGATACTTTTACTTTCTAGAGCTAGAGGTTGTTGATCTTGTTGGTGATTTTAATGCTATCAACATATTTTAGTGTAGTTATTATAATTTTGAGATAGGTTTAGTTATATTTACTCACTAAGATTGGAGGTACGAGATGCACACTCAAAGTGATTATTGTGAACTTGGGAATACGGGGTTCGGGGGTAACACCCTAGGGTACAGGGTTCCAAGGGGCGGCGCCCCTTGCGGGATCCAAGGGGTAAAAACCCTTGGTACCCATAAACATAAATGGATTTCTATAACAAAAAATAGTCGAGTCATGCATTTTCCTCTAAAACAGGGTGTGACATCATTGTGATGTAAGAATTGGTTATGCCTTATAACCACTTGTTTTGGCACCATTTGGTATCTAACCAATTTCTAACCATCGTCTTTCTTGTATAAAAGGAAGATGGGTGTTCCAGAAAATGGTTAACACTTTTGATACTCGAAATTAATCATATGCTTTCATGTGTCTCACCAAAATGCAAAACATCAAGGTGTCTTTTGTGTTTCGAATCCAAAAGCGACATGACTTCTAAATTGTCATTTTTGGATCATCACAAATCAGATTTCATGATACCCCAAGTTATTGGGTCGAAATCACAAATTTTAATAGATGATTACAATCACGATTCTAAAATTATCCAAGTTTATATTGATATTTTTAGATTAAAAAACTTACATGTGTCTCACCAAAAATGCAAAACATCAAGGTGTTTTTTGTGTTTCGAATCCAAAAATGACATGACTTCTAAATTGTTATTTTTGGATTATCGCAAATCAGATTTCATGATACCCCAAGTTATAGGGTCAAAATCACAAATTTTAACAGATAATTACACTCATGATTCTAAAATTATCCAAGTTTATGTTGATATGTTTAGATTAAAAAACCAATAGACTCTTCAATAGAGTTTAAAAAGGTTATGCATAATAATATTATCATTTCTATGAACTTTGTTTAAAAAAAAAAATTGCAATTCAAAAACTTGTTGTCGGGATGTCTTTTATCTAAGTATAATTTACAATATTATTTAATCATATGATTAATTAATATACAATTTGAACCAATTTTATAAAATAGTTCCTCACTTTGTTATATCAAAATACAAAATAAAATGTAAAAGTATATAATGAAAACGACATAACAGTGAAAATAGGAACCCAAAAAAATAATATTTTTTTAGAAGGGTTTGACTGACTGACAGGCTTTACAAACAACCCCCGTTGTGTGCCTCTCATTTCCAAAGCACACGCTTCTTTGTTTGCCTGCTCTGCTCTTCTCTCCCCCACCATCTTTCTCTGAAACAACAATGTCGAACTCGAACAGATCAAAATCAAATAAGAGCTTCTTCATGCCACTATTTTGTCGAGTCTCCATAAACGACACCGTCAAACCTGCCAAAATCTCGGAAACCCCCGCCACAGATCCTTCATCACCAAAACTCAGCTGTATAGGCCAAATCAAGAAGAGATCCACCACCACCACCACCACCAACAACAACAACAACACCAACCGTTTCCTCGCCTGCAGATTCTCCGCTTCAACCAACGCGAAATCCTCCGTCTATTCCAGCTTCAGTTACACTAAACTCCACAGACTCTTCTCCGGCAAAAACCTAATTTCTCCAGCTATTGACACTGCTTCTATCAACAACTGTAGCAGTAAATGTATTACGAATCGAAGCAACAGTTGCAACAGCAGAGGAAGAAGAGGTGTTAACACGAAGAAATATTACATGACTAGTAGTGATGATCCGGTTCTAATGAGAGTTATGGTGGCGGAAGAATTAGATCCGCCGTTGCCTGTGGTGAAATGTGGCCGCCGAGATCAGGAAACGAACGTAAATCTATGGAAGCGACGTGGAATCGAAATGAAAACACTCCAGATTCAGCCGATTCAATTGTCCATGGATCATCATAATACTAACAATAACAATGTCAATCGCAATTTTTCACTTCAAACATCCGCAAAAACCTTTTGATGAACGGATGAATCGATAAGGTAATTATTAATTATCCCCAAGATTCGAGAGGATATTTGAATATTGAAACTTTTATTAAATTATTGCTTCTTTTTTGGTTTTTTCTTGGGATGACACCACACTTTCGCTCTGTTTTCACGTGTTCATGTATTCAAACTTTGGAACATAGCTTGTGGTCAGGTTAATACTCGATTTTCTTTTTGTGGCTGGCTAGATTCCAAAAATGTTCTAATCACACACCAAACTGGGCAAAAAAGATAAACTTTTTGGCAAATTTATCATTTCACACTTGAGGTTTTATGGTAATTTTAGTTTCATTATTTTCGTTCAATTCAAGTCATATTACATGACATAAATCACTTAACAGTTTCGATGATGTATATATAATCAAATTATCTTATCATCTTCTTGATCCAGATTAAACTATCTACCTTAATTTATTTTTATAAAAAACGATACAATTGATATTATTTTTTTTATTACAAATATACAATGACATGTTTATTTGTCGTGTCTTATTGATCATCATCATTGGTGTTCCATCTCAGGTAGAAGCTCGAAGTATCTTCTATGTTTCGAAGGAATATGTTACGTAATTAATAATTATTATTTTTGTTTACATGTGCAATAAATGATAGTGTGAAACCATTATGAACATTTTGTTTATCGGCAGAATTGAAACTAATTATTTTTCTTTCACGAACCATAGAAATCGTATAATATTTGGTGATATGATTAATTTGGTTTGAAGACGAATGTCAACATCAATAATGGTGATATGATGTTTTTTTGCCATATATAATATTTTAAGAGTTAGATCTTTGATTCTTCTAGAATTAATAGAATATAAAGATACAAGTTGCTATAGCATGAAGCCATGAATACATGTTTTGAAGACGCCATCGACTGCACTTATTGCTTATTATATATATGAAAAACATATGTTCCAAATCAACCCAACAAATTATGTGTAATAACACTATATTACATTTTCAAATTATGTGTAGGTGTAAATTGTTATTGAGTTTGCCAGCTGTAAGTAGAGGGAAACTCTAAGTAGATGATATTTTATTTTGATGATAAGCTGCTACTTTCAACCCCAATCAACCCAACAAATTGAATGGAAAAATGGTGGTAATTTCAATTTGGTGAGAGACCTAACATGACATTAAAACCTTTGTTCCCTTAACACATGACATGATTGGACGGGAGAAAAATAACGATATGGACCGAAACCAAAACATAAAGAAACTTAAGGATGGTACAAGCAAAATATTCTTAATTCTTTTAATGATTATTTCACTTAAAGTCCAATTTTTTTCTTTAATTGTGTAAGTTACATAGATGATCTTTATGATTTATAATAAAATTAAGTTTAATTATTTATAATCACATAATCATATCCTTAGAGTTATATCACAAATGCACCATATATATTTGTATATGAATTCAATACATCTCGATTGAAGCCAAACGGGTAACAAGTTGCGCTGCTAGCCCTTTTTGGATGACAAAACTTATTCTTTTGAAAACAACATTTGTGTATCGAATGCAAAAGGAACAAACACATGTTGATTTTCTTTACATGCATTGTCGTGCTTTACCACTTTGCACGCAGCGGCTTTCAAAGCTGCATGCCCAGCTGTGAAACCTCCGCTCCCCAAACCAATGAGAGGAGATACACCAGTAAGATCCACACACGCATGCTTCCCTCCTATCCATCCAAAGACCAAAATGTCAGCCGGTCTAAGTGTGGACCTACCATCCTGTGGGTCCGTCAAAAAGTTCACTGGCGCTTCTTTCTTCACAGATATACCAGCACGCCGACAAGCATCAAAGAGAACATCTCGAACCACATCATGTCTATACTTGAAACCAGGGAGCTCTCTACAATGAACCGCGTGTTCCCCAAAGGTATCCAAACATGCCTTGCGACAAACTGGGCATATCTCGTCAATTGGGAATATGGGAATCATGAGGCGGTAACGAAGGATAGTTCGGTACTCCACATGAGACATATGCTGGCCAAGACCATCAATAGGGATAGTTAGTAGAAAATCTTGAGCATGAGGTGCCCGTAGACACTCAAAGACTGCTTTCTGTCTGACAGTCATCTCGAAGTTGACTTCCATATCTTGGACGATTTTGCTAAAAAGGGCATACACCAAAACTTTTTGGGATTTAGGGGGGGGGGGGGCGGTGTCCTTATTAGTGAAACCACTACTGTCAAGTCCCGGAATCGTATCACGGAGACGAGTCATAGCACATAGATAATCCGAGTCCATACCACATATGTCACTGTCACGTAAGATGTGGTCTTGTAGTGCCCAAGATTGGGCCCTCGAGGCTACAAATACGTAGGAGGAAACCTCGTAGGCCGAGTACAAACCCAAACCACCAAAACGAATAGGTAAGGAAGCCAAGCGCCACTGAATGTCTCCAAAGAAGGGGCCTCCACATACCACCATATCCTCGATAGACCTGCGCAATCCCTTGTCAAAGAATAACGCTGCCTCTTCTATGTGTACCAGCTAACATGTTCTTAAACCAAAGAAAAGTTTTGCAATGCCCATACATGATCGATGCAAAAGGAGCTCACTTTGTGGGTCACATAGTTGTGGAAGAAGGCCCATCAAATCAACAGCATTGACCGCTCTTTTCATGGCCAGCCCGCTAATAAACCCCGCGTCTATGCTAACAGCCCCCCCAAGGAGTTTCACCCCCAAAGAAGGTCTCCCCATCTCCGTAGGGAATAAATCAGCCCGAAGCTTCCTACCATCACATAAGGGCCAAAAAATCTCCGTTTTCTTGATGTTCAACTCGAGACCCAAACCTGGACCATGCAACCGAATTATGTTCAACACTCTAGCCACCTCCTCTGAATCCCCAATGACAATCCCATCATCTAGGTACCAAGCATGGAGAAGGAGCTTAAAATGTCTAGATTAACATTTTAATCTCTTTCTCTCTCTTTCTCTCTCTCTCTCTCTCTCCCTCCCTCCCTCCCTCTCTCTCTCTCTCTCTCTCTCTCTCTCTCTCTCTCCCTCCCTCCCTCCCTCTCTATCTCTCTCTCCAAATCAAATCCCCAAAATTAGGGTTTCATGACATTAGGGTTTCCAACCTAAATACTAGCCAATTAGCCCCATGGTTGGGCTTTTAGGTCAATCAGGGCTACATTGGGCCCATTAGGGTTAAACAAGTCAGACACCACCCACTACCACTTCGGTTAGTGGTTGTTAACGGCGGCGGCCACCGCCTTGCGGTGGTGGTTATGATTTTTAGCTAAAATATTTAAGCATCCCAAAATAACAATCACACACACAAAAGCACACAGCCACCCAAGGTGGTGGCAGAATGGCGGCGTGAGGTGGCAACCACCACCTTACGGTGGTGGCAGGTTGTTTCCTTTGATTATTCCGGCCGTACAATATAATTTTATAACAACATCCAAATACACACCCAACCGCTCTGTGGCGGCAGACGGTGGTCGGAGGTGCTAGCCACCACCTCATGGTGGTGGTGGAGGCCCTATTGTGATTTTCGGCCAACTAGCCACACACACCCATACACGTCTTCTATTCATAAAAGGAGTCCAGCCACCCACCTGGTGGCATAAGGCGTCGGTGATGACACGAAATGGCGGCATCAACGACGATCGGTCGGCAACAACAGCGTTGTTGGTGACAGCCACCATGATCGGGAGCCATGGTGGTTTTTCTTGGGTTTTTCTAGACAAGCGAGCACCCATAATCATGTCACAATGAAGCAGCAACCCTCACAACATGAGTTCATTCCCAAAGCATGCACCCACCTCAGCCACTTCGGGTGGTAAAAGATGACCAGAGCAACGACGATGGCAAGGGCACGATAACAAAACGAGATGGAAAAAAACATGGTGATGCGTTTCCTTCCGAGTGCAGCAGTAGCAGCAGCATAAAGAACGTCCGCCAATTTGCAGTCCTAATCGTCGCCGATAGTGAAAATGCGATGTGCAAGACGATGGCTCAACATGGCGGTGAGGTGTCGACTGATACCGGTGATCAATGTAACAGTGACACTCGTAGCCCACCTCTTCACGACGATCTTGAGCTATCCCGATGTGGGGAAGAATGGAGGTTGACGGTGGTTCCCCTAGTGGCTTTAGCTGATCGAAAAGATGAGAAGGGAGGTGGCTGCCGAATGGTCACATGTGAGAGGTGGAGGCTGCAAGAGAAGTTAGGTTTTGGGTTAGGGTTTGAGAGGGTGATGGGATTATATGCCCCCGTCCAAAAATAGAACTTCCTGCATAATAACGTTTTCAGTCCCTCTTCCTCTCATTCTTCTCAAATAAGATCCATAAAGTACCATTTAGTCCCTTAGCCCCTAATATCTATTCAAAATAAGTCCCGAAATTACACTTTAACCCCCGAAACTCTAAATCATGTCATTTGGCTTCCCAAAACCAACACCCTGCTACTTATTATTTGATTTTGGTGTATAATAATATAAAATAATAATGAAAATTACTTTTTGGGATCCCGGGTTTATTATTTAATTATTCTATTTAAAACGGGATGTTACAACGCTCCCCCACTTAAATTTGATTTCGTCCTCAAAATTGTTTCTCATCATTCCTTACACGCCAGACAACTTGAACTACATGACCACAGTCCCGAGCATAACCCCAACCTTCCCAAGGCAATCAAAACTACCCCTAACATGGTTTTAAAACCTGAAAATGGACGAATTCCTCGTATTATGATCACATTACACAATTTGAAATCTGTAGTCTCGAGATGGCTTGGCTCCCTGACAGACCACTCATACCAAATCATTATTCTTGAACCGAGTCCGCTTATCTCTCAACCAACTATCCAACTTCTGATAACAGGGGGTTCATGATGGGTTTTATATAAACAATCCTATGTGTGCCTGCAACCCTAGATACGGATCTATGTTTTCAGTATTAGATACATAACATTATGAACACATGAAGATCCCTAGCATGCTTCTATGAATTTCGAAATTCATAAGATGAGATAGATTACATACCTCTTGTTGTTATGTAGTAATAACAACTTAAATCTTGAATCTCCTTATCCTTGAAAGCAAGTACCACAAGTGTAGTACCTCTAATGGCTCACAAACACCAAAAGCAAATGGAGAGGCAAGGGAGAGAGGAAGGAAGCTACAAAATTCGGCCTTAGGGCTCTTAGAGAAGTAAGTGGCCGATTTCTGTACCCTAGGGGCCTTATTTATATTGTGAGCAGCTAGGGTTTCCTCCAAAACCCTAATGGACAACTTAGACATTAAGCAACTCATGGAACCTTCTAGAATAAGGTCATAGATGAAAATATGATGGGCTCCCATCATAATTTCGTTCATCCATTTGTCCCATTGGTTTCCCAACCCAAAATCCAACTATCACACATTTGATAGTTTAAGCCCCTTTACTCAATTAATCTCTTTTAATCACTAAATTAATTCTTAATTAATTTATGACTAATATTAATTAAATAATATGATTTCTCTTTTAATATATTATTCTTATAATATATTAATAAACCATAATAACCTCTTTCTCTATTATTTTTCCAGTCAAGTTGCTTTGGTGAAGGCAACTCAAAATGATCATGCACAATCGGGTCAAGTACTTACCAAATATGGTTACGGGCTTAGACACTAATCCAACAGTCTCCAACTTGGATAAGTCTAGTAACCATAAATGCAAGTAGAATCCGATTAGCAATCGTAGCTCTCAAAGACGTTTTCGAACTCTGTTCTCATCAATAACCTGTCATTTAGATGTGATCCTCTGAACAAGATATCATGCGGACAATCACATGGAACATAATCATACTTATTGTCCAACAATTTGTTTCTCGATCTCAGATTCGTCTGATACCACTGATGGGTTTATACAAACAATCATATGTGGGCATGCAACCCTATAATGGTTTTTATATATTAATGATATACAAACAGTTAATGACATGACACCATAATAACTAATGGTGGTCTTGAGTTACTAAAATGGTTTTCAACATGGTGCAACTAGAATCCCCTTTATGTTAATAGATATTGAAAAATATACTTTTTTTTTTTTTTTTTTTTAACCCTGAGTATATAAAATATTGGGTTATCCAATTTATGTGGCTATGGAACCTGTACGTATGGCAAGGGAGACCAGTCCACTCTTTCTTCTCTTTTGGATAATATGCCGATGCAAATCCATTCATCCACTCAATTTCCAGTTTTCCATTCTCCTCCGTCAAACGCCCACTGCCCATAATCGTCGTAACAATCAATTATGGCCGCTACGGCCGCCGCCAAGCTCGCTTCCGGCCTCCTTTCCTCCCCTTACACCCAACACCACCGCCGGAAACTACCACTTTTACCATTTCATCATCAGTATTGCCAACCAGGAAAGCATGTAACTCTGGCCCTCCGGAGAAATGGGATAACGTGCAAGGCAGCGGATGTGTCGTCCTCAGGCGTTTCTGAAGATACAAGGAATTGGATACCGGTGGTGCCAGTATCGGCGCTTCCGAAAGGTGAAAGGAGAGTGATAATACAAAATGGAGAAGAGATTCTCCTGTTGTGGTATAAAGATGAGGTGTTTGCTATCGAGAATAGATCACCTGCCGAGGGTGCTTATAGTGAAGGCTTGATCAATGCTAAGCTCACCCAGGTTTTGCTTTCTCCTAATTTCCCCCAAAATTTCTAGGTCGATTTCGAAATCGATGAATGTACTAGTTTAACAACATCAGTTATTCTTCCATTTGTGAGTGACGTTAAGAATGTTGTGCAGGAGGGGTGCATCGTATGCCCAGCAACTGATAGCACATTCGATTTGCGAAATGGTTCCATCAAAGACTGGTTTCCTAAGAATCCTGTGTTAAGAGTGCTGACACCCGCTTTAAGTAATTTATTTGTTTATCCAGTAAAAGTTGATGGTGAAAATATCTACATAAGCATGGGAAGATCAGCACCATCGGTTGCATCTGCAGAAATCGTGTTTAGTGGAAAGGCTCAACCTGGTATAACTGCTACTGATGTCAACGTGGATGAGGTAACTAACTTTGTTTCCTATTACCAATCATAGCATTGAGCTTCTAAGAACTTTTCCACTATATCTGTATTGGTGTTTAGGTAAGAATGGTGGTTGATGAAGGGTCTGGAGGATTTGGTTTTACAAATAAAAACGAATTGATAAACGGAAAAGCAGCCATTATTGGGTTCTTGTTGCTTTTGGATTTTGAACTTTTGACTGGTAAAGGGATCCTTAAGGGGACAGGCTTCTTGGATTTTCTTTATTCCACCATCAAGTAAGCATTATTACCTAGCCAGTGTGAAAACAAACTGACAGGTAAACTTGTAAGGTATACATCCGTTTTGCTGTGTTTCCAACAGTTTCACAAAGTTTGTGATTGAGTTATATATGTTGGTTTGAACATAAATATAAGCAATGTACTTTATTTTTATTTATTTTTTTACCTACAAGCAAGCTATATGGACAAGATGTTGTGAATCCCAATTTTTGCAAAAAATAGTTGTTCTTCATGTCATATGTATAAATCACACAAATTGGTTTGCATAAAAGACTAATGTCCACGGATAGCTCAATCTACATTGGAATTAAAATCTCATGCTACTACTGGTAAGACTTGGAAACATTGCAGGAGTGAAATCTTTACGACTTATTATGCATTTAAAATCCTTATGACTAGGTAGAAAATATGATAAGAGAACGTTACTTCAAAATCAATACAAACAAACCTGACCATGATTATTCAAAACATCATTTACAAACACAAACTCCCCTATTCATCCAATTGTCTTAGCTGAAGTCGAGGAGATGTACGAGATTCTCCTCCGGTTAGAAGTCGTTTTGGTGGTGATGAAGCTTCTAGAAGAGGTCTCCCTGTACCCATAAAAGACGTTGCCCTTACCCCTTGGTTTGACAAAAGGAACCGAAATGTCCATGTCAATACGTCCGGTGCAAACACCCTGTACAGAAGAAACACATCGTACCAGCTCGGGTATTTAACATTAGCACTCCCCCGCACTGCAGCCGATACAATTAACCTTGCAAACTCTTCCACAGGACTTCCCGCAGCTTGCACCTTGTGATCATAACAAACAACACACAAATTGTAAACTGATTTCATCCAATAAGACCCTTTCAGACAAAACTAAAACTCATAAGGGTGTCACTAACATACTAATATACTATCAACTAGCATTTTAGGTTAACTTACTTCTCGTTCTTCCCTCCATTGCATCTCGGCGCCTTCTTCCAGCATGAATCTCCCCCTGGCCATTTCGGCACCAATCCAGCCGTGGGTAGCAATCGTGATTCCGACATCACCATTCAGTTCCAACCTCAAAGTCTCATAGAAGTTCACTAGAGCAGCTTTAGCCGCCTAGTCAAGCATAACAAGAGTTAAAATGTGGTCCCTGTTCATAAAAAATGAAAAAAAAGAACATAATCGGTTTTGTCGACCGGAATACACTCACAGAATATATGCTCATCCTAGGGAGAGGCAACCAGTTCTCAACAGCAGCATTAACGACAATCCGCCCGTGATTCTGGCGGAGGTATGGAAGAGCCACATATGTAGGATAAACATTCCCCCAAAAATTGATATCCTGAAATTTAGCAATAAGTGTATGATGTCCATCAATTAAGAAGTTAAATAAAATTCATTCATCGGAATTGCCCTAAGCCAGAGTTTGAGTTATACCATCAAAATAGGGAACACTGAAGCATCATTTGCTTCCTCAAAATAGAAGGTATGCCCTAAGCTTGCGGTGTTTACCAGATGATCAACTGCAAACAATAAAAACCAAAATTGTTTATTTTTTGTTTCCATTAAGGATTGTGTGTATGAATAAATGATGTTTATGTACAAAGAATAAGGGAATAGATTACTTCGCCCAAAAACACCAATGGTCTCGTTGACGAATCTTCTACACTCGTCTTCTTTGACAACATCTGCAGCCATTATTAAGACGTGCGGTGCACCCAGTCGTTTAGCATTCTCGCTGATTCCATGCAGTCGGTGATCTCTCCGTGCAACTAATACCAGATTTGCTCTCTTCTTTGCATATTCATATGCGATTTGCTGATAACAATGAAAAAGTCAAACATATTTTGAAACTGACAGTGTGCTTAATTATTGAGTTATTGGTGACCTATGTTTCTCAATTTAGCCCAAACCAGATACTAAAGGTTAACGTTAAGATTACATATACAGACACCACCAACTTATTATAAAAGTCATTTTCATTTCACTAGGATGCCTCTCATTTTCTACAATAATCTCTTTTTTGTTACTTTATCTGTTCAAGTTAACCTTTTTCTAAAAAATAATTATTTTGTCACATAGATTTCAATTAGTTTTATTTTGCAAAAATCTATTATTAAAACAATTCCATCGGTTGATCCTTTTTCTAATAATAATAAAAAAAAAACACTTTTACTAAATTAACCAATTCGTTCAAATCTATGTATTTGATGAAACCCATAATCTAATTTGTTACATTTAATACATCAAATGCCACAAACAAGCGAAACTAAAAAGATAAACTATATCCACTCCTTTTTATTGAAAATATATAATTGATAAAATTATTATATATTTTATAGAAATAAATAATAATAACACAAATATTATACAAACATTACAAACCTAATAAGATAAATTAGCTGGAAAAGTTATAATTATTTGAAGTTAAAATAGAATTAGAGCAGTATAATAAAAATATTATTGCATGAACGGTAAATTGTATACAAAAACAATAATAACATTTAGTAAATAGCACAAGCGATAAAACAAGAGCAAAAATATGATAAAATGGTAATGTTATTAAATGTTATTTTAAACGAACCTTCACTATACTCACATGATGTGCGTCCTATGCACATAAAAACACAATAGTTCAAGCACTCATTATTAATCGTTGAAAAAACCCGATGACGAATTTGCAACTACTCACATCAACTCAATTTATGATTATTCGATCTGTTTTACTGGAAAGGATCATCTGAATCATTTGATGACTCCTTATCCCATAATTATCTAAAATCCTACATTCAAACACCCTTTAGGCTTTAACTCACTAACGACTTGTTTGATATGAGTGAATATTACGACTTGCAGAATCAAATCGTCCATATGAATCCACTGTATGTTTTTTTTAAACATCGGAAAGAATATATATTTATGTTGACAAAATTGCAAAAATGGTCCCTGTGGTATGTCAAAACTAGCATGTTTGGGCCAAAACGGTTTTGGCTAGCATCAATGGTCCAAAAGTTTAATTTTCTTGCAAGTTTGGTCCAATTTGGTTTGAATTTTTTTGGAAAGACGATTTTGCCCTTATTATTTAATTTTTCATTTTTGTTTTATTACCAACAATTAAAAATAAAACAAAATAAAATAAAATACCCTATCTCTCTCTCTCTCTCTCTCTCTCTCTCTCTCTCTCTCTCTCGTTTCTTGCTTACTACTATCCAAAGAAGAAGAATAAGTGGTTGTCACCGGCCTAGGCTGCCCCTTCGCCTCCCTCCGGTCAGGTAGCACCACCCCAAACACCCGATTCGATCGTTGCTACCCTCCCTTTGAACCTAGACAGATGCCAACGAGAAAAAGGAGATCGAGATCTGAAGTTTGGGTTTCTTGACGATTAGGGTTTCTTGGCGGCTATGGTTTTCAGATGGAGGGTTTCGTGACTGGAAATCGAGGGGAAGACACCTCGGATCAATTTTCCTCGGCTGTTAAGCCTCATATGAGGTGGTTGTCATCGATCAAGGGGGTTATCGATCTGGGTTACATCTCCACACCACCGTCGGATCCTCTAGCTACAGACTGAACATATCTGAAGGCGACGAGCATGGTGATGGGGTGTAGCAGTGACAAGAAGAACAAGTGAGAGGGATATGATTGGCATTTGATTCAAACACCGATTCAGAGAAGAACAAGAGAGAGGGACATGATTGGCATTTGATTCAATTATTGGAAAGGACGCAAACATTTCTAGGTTGTAAATCGTAACCCCTTTCATCTATAAATCGTAATCTCTTTAACCTGTACTGATTTAGGGTATACGGTGTCTGCGATTCAGGGAGAGGGATAAAAGGGGTGCAGTTTACCTTCGTCTTTATGTTTATTGAGTTGTTTGTGTGCTTATGGGTTTGAGTTGGGCAATTCATAGAAGAAATTGATTCTGATGGTGGTGATGGCAGTTCATCAGAAATCGATTTCTTAGTTTGTGAATATGATGTTCTTGTTCTTGAACTTAGGAAAAACCGAGTGTTCTTGATATTCATATGCATATATGAGTGTGTATGTGTTTAGTCTGTTCGACTTCATATAATGAATTGAACAAAATTGATAAAAGTTAGGGTTCTTCATTTTACAAATCCACTACCAGATTTGTATTAATTTTGTTTTTAGAGAGAGAGAGAGAGAGAGAGAGAGAAAGAGGAAGAGAGAGAGAGTATTTTATTTTATTTTTTATTTTTAATTGCTTTTTAATTACTGATAATAAAATAAAATGGAAAATTAAAATATAAGGGCAAATTCGTCATTATAAAAAAATCCATAGGAAATTGGACCAAACTCTACGAAACTATTTAACCATCCTTGCAAGTCAAACCTATTTTGGACCAAAAGTGCTAGTTTTGACATACCACAGGGACCATTCTTGCAATTTTATCATTTATGTTTGACTAGAGTTTGTTTTTTCCCTCTGACCACTGCTTGAGTTCTATTTTGGTTTAAGTAATTATAATTGGTTATTCAATCAAGAAGCCGTTCTAGCTCAGTTGGTAGAGCGCGTGGCTTTTAACCACGTGGTCGTGGGTTCGAGTCCCACGGATGGCGTATGAACACTGTTTTTTCGGTCTTTTTTTTGATATTTAGTTTTGTGAGTGTAGTGCTTATGGCATATGATGTAAGACTGAATTAATTTAAAATTGTTATTTATTATTTAATTAATTTAAAGCAAAGCAAACAGGCCGTTCTAGCTCAGTTGGTAGAGCGCGTGGCTTTTAACCACGTGGTCGTGGGTTCGAGTCCCACGGATGGCGTATTGTTTAATTTTTTTTTTTTTTAATTTTTTTTTGTTGCCTATGTGGTCTATTTATTTACACGACGTCATAACCACTAATTGAAAAGGGAGGTAGCAAGCAATCTCCATAAATCACTTCCAAGATTGAAATTGAGTTCATATAAATTTATTTCGGCTCCAAATGTCTTCATTCATTTGAAATTGCAATAATATAATATGACTACATACACATGTTGAATCTTAAACTAGATTTTGAAGAAAACAGCAGTTAATTGTTAAACGCATAGGTAGGTAAGAACTGAGAGCATACCTCGCCGATTCCCGAAGAAGCTCCGGTGACGATGACAACTTTGTTATACATATCTTCATGATAAAGAAAAGAATAGTAAAGCCATTCACAGGTGTTGATGAAAGTAAGTGCCGGCCATGAGAAGGCCAGCATCACTAGGCTTGCAGGTGGTACAACCCAATTAAGCACAGAATTGATCGTATCCATCATCACCATATGTCACCAACACCAAAACAAACACTTACAAATTAAGATATGCTTTGTTGAGTGAGAGAGAAATAGAGAAGATCGACTGTATGGTTGGATAGATAATAAACGATTTCAATGATTATGAAAAATTAAAGCGGCGAGTGACGACGAATCCAGAAGAGAAATGAGCTGCCTGTTGCTGTTGCTACTGGCACTAAGGTGGTGGTGGCCATGCATGCGAGGAACACGTGTTGCCTTCTCAGGCTGGTGTCGTGACGGAGTGGTATGTTGGATGACGCCACCGGCACCGTCCCCAAGACAGATTATTGTCATGTTATAAAATCTAAAAGCATCTTACGACACATTTGATAATTTTAGAAAGACACCAACTTTTTTAATAAAAATTCCGACTTCATTCTCTATGTAAAATACTACTTTATAAAAATCTTCATCTATTTTGTCACTAACTTCCTAAAGACATGTCATATTTTTAAAAGAATTTTTTCTTGACAATAATAAATGAAATATTCTAGAATATTTATATTAACCTTAGTTAATTAGTCAACCTAATAAACATTTGAAGTTCAGGTATAATTAATAGAGTAAAATGATTGTTTAATAAATTTGTTAGGTAATAATGACCAACAAAACTATGTTTTCCAATGATAATAAGCAGTTTATTAGCTAAACATGTAATATTATTAACATTTGAAAAAAAAAAGCCTCTAAGCAGGAGGAATATTTTTGAGAATACAAGGACTAAAATAAGAAAAGTTTAGAATTAAAGGACTAACTCTGTAAATCTAACAGGTATTTAAACTAGAAGTATTTGTTCCCGCCATAAAAACCGTTCCTCACAAATACAATCTATCTGCAAAAGAAAATCTTTGGTTGAGCTGATTTCAAGGGTTTCAATTCAGCTGTTTTACAATGGCCTTAATTTCGGAACCTAGTTTTCCATGTTTTTCTGTAAGTAATTAAACTATCATCCAGTTTTATTTAACTAACATGTATGCTCTTAATTTCTGTATATCATAATGGATGGGTATCCTATAATGCTGTTGTATTTGTTTATAAGTTTTCCATTTTTGGCCTTTCAGAAAAATGCTTTCGTCAAATCTGTTATAAAATTCAGATACGAAGCAAAATCCAGCAAGGGAAAAGCTTTTGGAACCCCCAAATCACCTTCTGGGTTATCTCACAGAAACGACCAGAAATCCAATCATCAGATTTCACATACAAATTATTCATATACATATTTATATGATTTAATTTGTGTGGATCTGATGCAAGATTTCTGGTTTGTGTTCTGAACATATCTTCCCTTCCCTTATTAATTTCTTCTTTTTTTTTTTTTTTTGTTGATTGTAATCAATCAATCTGTTTTCATCCCTGGTAGCACTGATCTGAATCATTCAAAATGGTATGTTGTTAATTATTACACCAAAAAACTTGAAAATTTCGGTATAATCTTTCAGTTTCTTGAGATTTTTTGTTAAAAAACATATAGAAAAGAAAACCCACGTTTTCTTTGGGGTAAAAATAAAAAGCCTGGAATTGTAAATTCTGGGAAAGTGGGAAGCTCAAAAAGCTTCTTGCATTTTGTTTTCCCCAAAAGAGCTTCATGAAAGCTGTAAGAAAACACAAAGGTCTAATCCTGGTAGTTTTCCACACTTGGGTTATTGAAAATTGATTCTCAATCGAGATAAACCCTTGTATCTATTTTAAAAAAAAAAAAAAAAAAAAAAAAAAAAAAGGAGCAAAATGGGTGGGATATGCTCAAAATCAAGCTGCGGAAGGGATAGAAATGATTGTGAAGAAGAGGAAAGCAAATATTCTGGTGTACAGGTGGCTGCACCTTCAAAGAGACAGGGTGTTTCACAACATGGTAAAAATGAGACAAAAGATTGCCATAAACAATCACTATCTGAAAGGGTACTTGGTTCAAAAAGAATGCAACAGATTAAAAGCATAGTAGGTGGCACCCAAGGTGCACAAAAATCAGCCCAATGGCCCTCATGGCTAACCTCAGTTGCTCCAGAAGCCGTACACGGATGGACCCCACGCAGTGCTGACTCATATGAGATGCTAAACAAAGTTAGTACTCATTTTATATACTCACATTTCATGCTTCATGCTAAACAAACTTAATAACAAAATATGATAATCTTTTGAATACAGATTGGTCAAGGCACATATAGTAGTGTTTACAAAGCACGTGATTTGCAAAATGATAGAATCGTTGCTATAAAGAAAGTACGTTTTGTTAATATGGATCCAGAAAGTGTCCGTTTTATGGCCAGGGAGATTAGTATCCTGCGTAGGTTAGACCACCCGAATGTCATGAAGCTTCAAGCTTTGGTTACTTCAAAGTTTTCAGGGAGTTTGTATCTTGTTTTTGATTATATGGAGCATGATCTTGCTGGGCTTTTAACATCTGCAAGAGTCAAAAAGTTCACAGAGCCACAGGTTGGTTTCTTTTTTACTTCCTTTTCTTGATTTCTTCATATTCTATAATCAAAATCTTTCATCTTCTATAATGAAAATCTTTGTATTTACGTGTATAGATTAAATGTTATATGCAACAACTTCTTCGTGGAATGGAGCACTGCCATAATCGTGGTGTTTTGCATCGAGATTTAAAGGGTTCAAATATTTTACTTGACAACAATGGAATTCTCAAGATTGGAGATTTTGGTTTGGCTGCAAGATTTGAGCCTGGTCAAAAAGAACCGTTGACTAGCCGTGTTGTGACTTTATGGTATAGAGCTCCTGAACTTTTGTTCGGCTCGACATCATATGGTGTCGCCATTGATATGTGGAGTGCAGGTTGCATCCTTGCAGAGCTCTATACAGGAAGGCCTATCATGCCAGGAAGAACAGAGGTTGAACAAATACATAAGATCTTCAAGCTTTGTGGTTCACCTTCAGATGAATATTGGATGAAATCAAGATTACCTCATGCGACTAGTTTTAAACCTAAACATCCTTACGATCGTCGAGTTTCTGAGATATTTCAACAGCATATGCCTCCTTCTGCTTTGGCTCTTTTGGATACCCTCCTTGCAATCGATCCAGAAAAACGTGGTACTGCAACTTCCGCACTCGCTAGTGAGTTCTTCACGACGAGCCCTATTCCTTGTGATCCATCGGAATTACCAGAATACCCTCCGAGCAAAGAATTTGATGCTAGGTATCGAGCAGAGGAAGCTAGAAGGTAAATATCTGACTTAAAACGACATGGATTTGTCCGATTTCTGTTGTCTACGAACCTAATTTTGGATTTTCAGGCGGAAAGCTGAAGCGATGAAAGGACATGTGCCTGAATCCGTTAGGGTTGGTGTTGTCGAATGGAAAGCACAATCTAAAGCACAAGTGGCGATGAATGCGAGAAACTTCAATGCTCAAGGGGAGAATCGAAACGTGAAGAAAGGATTCTCGTATTCCAACTCGGAGATCCATCAAAGTGCAGTTGTGGGATATTCTAAGAATATAAATGACGATGCTTGTACAAGTTTAAGGATGGGGCCTTTACGGATTGATCCTGCTATGAAGCGACCGATGTCTAACACCCATCAAGCAGCAGATCCCATGAAGCTTGATAACCCTGTAATTTTTCTTTACCATGTTTACTTGTTTTTGCAGAGTATTTTATGTGAAGAGCATTTGATCAGATTATGAGTTGTTTTCAGGGGCAAGGAAAGAGGGTAAACAGAGAATATTCTGGACCGTTGATGCCAGGTGGAAGGACGGAGGACATGCTGAAAGAACACGAAAGACATGTTCAAGCTGCAGTTCGAAGAGCACGAGCAGATAAGAACAAAAGTAGAATGGCATGATAAAATTTTACTTTCATGGGAATCAAATGATGATATGTTTGAACGTGAAGGAGTGCGGCTGTTGTGAAACATATGGCAAAATAGAACGAAGATACAAAGGGGTGAAGCTGCGGGTTTCATGGTGGAATCGGTGGTGATGTATGTTGTTGTTGTGTGGCTGGAAGGAATTATTCAGGCTTAAAACAATAAATAAGTAAAGCATACCGTTGTAAAAAAACACAAGTTGAAATGTTTGAAATAGAGATTCAGTCGCTTTCTGGTTTACATAATAATGATTCCTGGTGTTATAGCAACATTGCTACGTTAAGAAGTAAGAACTACTTGTTATGAACATGATTGATGTGTTTAAGTTCCAAATCTTTGTCCTACCCAACAAGGTGGGGGTTAAACAAGTTAAGTAGCGCTACATAGCAATTTATTTTGTCATTTTTAACCAAGACAAGCAACATACCTTTGTATCCATAATAGTAACCAACTTACATTTTTCTACCAATTCAGACAACACAACATGCAACCTAGAAACCTTAAAATGCCAACATGGCATGGGTTTACACCCTATTTACCGAAGTATAATATTACAAGTTAAATGCACAAAACATGATTATAAGTTACAAGTAGCATAAAAAGGTTGATATAAAAGTTTAAAGGAAAAGTTTTCTACATTGACCCATTCTGTACAATTCGAGACTACACATAAAATAGTTCCTTTCATTTTATTTCAACTCACAATACATCCCAATTTAAAAATCCTGCTTTGGCTTCCGGCTAAGCTCTGAGTAACTTCCTCCCATCAGCTGCAAAATCTCCTCCCACAACCCATCAGAAGAAGAAGACGAAGAAGAACTCTGGGTCCCACCAAATACCAAATTGGAACTACATGCCGCCACATGCCATAAACCCGCATCAATCTCTTCCTTCAACTGATCAATTTGCCACCCCGCATACCCAACAAAAAATCTAAAATCCTGCGGTTTTAGCACCCCGGATTTCACCAAACCCGAAGCTTCATCCAAACTGTTTCGAGAACCAAAGGATAAATTCGGAATAACTTCTTCGAAATCAAGAACGGTTTTTTTGGGCCCGGATCTCAACAGGAATATGCTGGCTTCAAGGGGCCCACCGAAATGCAACAAACAGTCGGAAAATGTTGTTGCTAAATGGAGATTTGTGGGTTTCATGTTTTTGATCTTTTTGTGGAGCGGGCGGTTTATGATCACGCCAAACGGGCCTTCTTGTGGGTGGCGGGTCCCGGATCCAAGTAGGAAGACAACGGATCTTTCAAATGTTTGAACCCCATCGAGCTTTTCTGTTGCCACAAGGACACAACCGGTTTCCGGGGCAGATAGGGGGTGGGCCCATTTTGACCCTAGACTTTTAGACTCATGAACTACCCCTTCATCTTGTTTGTTAAGCATTGACTGCATAGTAAAAAGTCAATTCTAGTGTTTTGTGTTGATATTTTAGGTAAGGAAAATGGAGTGTGATTTGGAAATGTTACCTGCTGATTGAGGTAGAGGACTGCTCTAAATTCTCTCCAGTCTGTGGCTTTATAATGGGATTTTGGATTGCTTTCAGGCTCAGTGGGATTGTTTCCTTTCAGGCCCTCTCCTTCTGGAATAGAATGATCCCCATTGCCTGGATTTATGTATATATAATATAACACTTACAAATGAATACATATGTGAATGTAGTTATATATTTAGGTATTATGTGTATGTATGTGAGTAGAAGGTATATTATACATGTGTGTGTATGTCTATAGGTTCATAGATGCATGTGTGTTTGTAACTTCGTATACATAATATATATAAACAAAGAAGACAGATTAAAAGGAAGAAAAAAAAAGGTGGAAGGGAGAGGATGCAGATGAAATTTATAAAAACATAGGGAATGGTAAGGAATTTGTTTGCTTACTAGTGAAAGAGGAAGATATATAGAAGTCCAACTTTTTGTTCACATTCATGAACTTTCGACAATCTGTTTGTTTTATTATTTGAATTATCAATTTGGATCATCTGTCAAAACTTGTTTAGAGTTGAGATTTTCAGATAATGCCTTTTAGGTTATGATTGTTTTAAAAGTCTAAACTTGCAGCATATTACTTTGTTTTTATGTGTCCACATAAATGGACTTATGCAGATCTAATTTCAGTTACAGTCTGCAACTTAAACGATTCCACTATGGATAGATTCATCCAAGAAGTATATTCATCAAGTAAAAAATTAGGTGACATTCAGCCACATCCAAAACATTGATTATTTTAATCTTATAATTGTCTGTGTTTAACGTATTTCACATTGTGATTGAAAATGACTCGTAGTACAGATAATCTGTCAGACAACTTTATCCTTGTTAAGGTTATTAGCAATTCAAAACAACCTTCGGATAAAAGGGAAATGCATCAATATTAGTGAAAATCAACAAAAACTGTAAAACAATAAGAACTCAAACATGTTCAAATTTGTTACCATAAGCTAGGTCATTACTGGTTATGTTATAAATGCACAATCTTTCATGTAGTTTTAATCATCAGAAACCAATTTAATTAGAAAACAGCTAAATATTTTATAAAAAAATGGGTAATCCCAAAAAACATATTTTACAATACAAGCGGTATTCAGAAGAAGATGAAAGAGAACACATCAACAAATTAGAAAACCCTAAATTATTGAAGAAAAATATATAAACGCACCTGCAGAAGATGATGAATCAGAGTTATTCTGCGAATTCTTCTTTCCCATAGCTCGCACGACGAAGGATTGATGGGAAGAAACAGTTCCTCTTGGTACCCTGATCTCGCAGACCTTTCCAACATCGAAAGAAGCCATCTTTCTTGATTTCCATGACGAAATAGGTTTATCGCACAAGTGATTGCTCTTCGATATATAAGGGCATCGAGCTGCAGTTTTGATCTGCACGGCGCACAGATCCATCAAGATCCTCTTCTCTAGCTTTTCCTTGATAATTACGATCGGTAAGATTGGGATTTTTATAAGTTGAATTGGAGAGTTTTTTAGTTTGATTTCGCAGAAATCATGGTAATGTCAGATGAGGTCATCGTAAAGGATGATAAAGGAGGACCGAGTAAGGAATTCAGTGGTAATTAATGCGGATGTGCGAGATAGAGAGTAACGAAGATGAAAGGGAAAGGGAGAGGAACGTGTCTGTGTGTATGTGTGTGTGAGAGAGAGAGGGGGAGAGAGAGAGAGAGAGAATATGCCAAGATATAAACCGTTTTTTTATGGTAAGGAGTCTAAAACGACTGGGTTGGCTACTTCCATTTTAATCCATCCATTATCTATTGCAAAATATTAAAAAATCATTAACCACACTATCGTTTCGACATTTTTTTTTTGTTTTAACCATCTAAATAATACTTTTCTGGTTTATTCCTTTGCACTTTGATTTTTTTTTTTTTTCTTCCTAAAAAACCATTCTAACTGAATTTCATAGGTTTTCCAGGTCATGGTTTTCTTCAATAAAAAACTATGTGGCATTATAATCAAAAGATGTGGGCAATTTCATTTAAGAAAATTAGATGTCCCGCCTCCTTCATTTATCAAATGTCATTTATTTTTTTTAAATGAATGTCATGTCTCTTTTTATTATTAATATGTTTTTTATTTAAGTAATTGTTAACTAATGAAATTTTTGTATGTTAATATTTGTATTTAGATCGACTGTGGTGGGTATTTCTTAGAATAAGTGGTGCCAATGTGGTGTTGAGGTGGTCGACATTTTGGATGGTGGAGTGAGACCATGCCACGTAGCCTAATTAGGATATAAAAGAAAATTATGAAAGGATAATTACAAATAACAATAAGCCTAACTGATCTCTTAACAACATATCTTGTGAGACGTATGTATCCTTAATTAATGATAAAACCGGTACTTCCTTTCTCTCTTCAACCATGTTTTGTGTTTATTAAATTTTTTATTCTCCATTAACAGCAAACCCTAGAAATCTTTCGCTTTCAGGTATTTGCTTTGTACTTTTTGCATGATTAATTATAGCGCTTTGAATTGCCTTCAAAATGTTCAGCGCTTTAATGATCATATTTGCAATCAAATCACAATATTATTGACTATTGTTGCTCTAGGCTTGTACATCAACCTTGTTCACATTGTTACTATATGACAAATAATTGTAATTTTTAACAGTTATATAGACATGCGCCTGTATTCTATTTCAGTAGAGAAAGGGATTGAGGAAGAGTACACATTACACATTACACATAACACTTTCTCGATTCAAGTTTTCATGTACATATTTATTAAGCTTAATGCAGTATATGATCGGGAGTCATGCTATTATAGGCAAATGTAAATTAAGTTATGTATTTGATAATTTCTCTCTTATGGAACAATTGGTACTAATTTGTTGTGGTGTGCGTCTGATATAAGTGTAAAAGACAATTTATCTTATAGTGGCATTGATATACACTTTTCTCATCACAATCATGCCACTTAAACTGATTTTGAATTTGTTTATGATAGATTTTCATTTTTCAATTTGTATAATGGGGGGTTATCCGTTTGAAGAAGACTGTGAGTTTATATGGCCTCACACTCTTGTTTTGGTTGGAAAGACTGGAAATGGGAAAAGTGCTACTGGGAATAGCATCCTTGGAATGCAGATGTTCACATCAAAGCGCAGTTCATCTGCTGTAACACCTACTTGTGAATCAAAAACAATTGCATTGGAAGATGGCCAAACTCTTAATGTGATTGATACTCCTGGTATATACATTGACTAAGCCACAAAAGTATACTACTTAATTATGACAAGTCTAGTATTAATTTACGACTACTTTGATATATTTTTTTAGTGTTATATTGTTTGTTTATAGAGTGTTAACACTGACACTCTGGCAGGATTGTTCGACTCTTCTCTTGATATTGATTTTGTTGGGAAGGAGATTGCCAAGTGCGTCAATATGGCTAGGGATGGTATTGATGCCTTTCTAGTTGTCATCTCAGTTCGATGTCGCTTTGTAGAAGATGAAAAAGCAGCTATAAGTAGATTGCTCGCTTTGTTTGGAAGAAAATTTTACGATTACATGATAATAGTTTTCACTGGTGGGGATGAACTTGAAGATGATGATGAGAGCTTAGAAGAGTTTTTACGTGACTCTCCCAAAGCATTACAGGTAATGTAGTCACATAGCCCAACAAATTTTATAGCATTGTTTGTGTATATATTAATATAAATTCCTATGTTTGTATTTGCTTAATCAACAATTGTTTATTATTTCAGGAAACCCTTAACTTGTGTGAGAATCGGTGTGTTCTCTTTGACAACAAGACAAAAGATCCAACTACGAAATCAAATCAAGTGCAGAAGCTTCTTTCTCTTGTAAATACGGTTTCAAAAAAAAATGGAGGAAAGCCATATACCAATGAGATGTTTACTGAACTGAAGGTGAAACTTATTATTATTAATTTATTGCAAATCTACACTTGACCTGTAATTATGACACCACGTTGCAGTCGTCACACCAACAATATTTGTTTTACAGAAATGTACCCAGGAACGTGATGAGCAGCAGATATCAATGTTCGATGAGCAATTTAAGCGAATATATGAAATGGTATTCTTCTAACACAGTGCATTATTTAAAATTTTGTTAGATTTACATATGTATCAAATGACGTATGCTAAATATCATAGCATGTTTTGAAATGTTTGTGGTAGAATTCAAAATAGTCATGCCTACTTTGTTGGTGGTTGACAGGTTGAGTCAAAGCTGAAGGAGACAACTATGAGGCTTGAACAAGTATTGGCAGAAGAGCAGACTGCTCGGTTGAAGGCTGTAGAGAATACTACAGCTGCTCAAAAGAACTTAGAAAAAATGTTACAGAAGGTGAGCTTGTTATTGTTCATTATTATCTTATGATAAACAGACGAACCCAAAATGTTTATGGTAAAGAGGGTAGGATGTTATGATATGTTTGTGGTTAATTAGTTCAAGTATTCCATACCTACTCTTAAAAATGAAAATGATATGTTATTGGTTGACAGGTTGACTCAGAAATCAAGGAGAAAACTTTGAAGCTTGAACAACTATTGACTGAAGAACGGATTGCTCGGCTGAAGTCTGAAGAGAATGCTAAAATTGCTCAAAAGAAATCTGATGAGGAGATACAGAAGGTCAAACTTATTATATTGTTCATTAGTCGTTATTTCAGATTTACACTTGACATCATTACAAGACCTTGTGACATTATCAATGTTACACAATTTAAGTATGAGATACTTATTAAATAAGATTAGCCATGTGATGTTATTGGTTGATAGGTTGAATCAAAGTTCAAGGAGACAACTTTGAAGCTTGAACAGCTATATGAAAAAATGTTGACAGAAGTTCTTGATTTGACTGAAGAAGACTTGAGTGAGAAGTTTGCTAAGGGTGTCTCCATGGTCACATCTCTAGCTTCAGCCATCCATTATCCAACCATTGCAGCTGCTCCTCACATGCTCATCAATGGTTACATGAATGCTTTGTCCATTCCTGTTGCAACTAATTACTCTTCTGGTGGTGGTCCTCCGGTGAAAGAGAAAAAGGCAGAGGAGTCCGATGATGACATGGGCTTTACTCTGTTCGATTAGATGATTGATGTTTGGGAGTTCAGACTTTATTGTTTTTTACACAAGCTTCTGTGTTTGTTATTGTGTGGTGTTTATGCTTTTTCAGTAATCGTACTTGTATCTTGGGTTATTTTACCCTTTTATCTTGATAACACTTTTCATTAAAAAAATAATAAATAAATAAAGCCTTGTATGACATCATTGTTTCTCTTGAAGCTTGGTATACAACATCTACTGAATGAAGCCTTCTATTTATAGTAAGAGGCTTGGTGTTAATGACATCATTGTTTCATATATGTGACATAGTCCTTTCCATTTAGACTACATGCGCTCAACATCAAGCATAAGCTAAATATCATGAGCAATTTGTAAACCAGGTGTTTCAAACATAGCTTCTTCACTGAATAAGAATAATAACTCGTTGATAATATCTTAACTCCTTAAAAACACAATTATAAAGATTAAATTAAGTTGATTGTACTCTACCCACAGCATGTAAAAAGAATGCAACTGTTGGTTGAGGATCATGTTGCTCACCTCAAGGCTCAACATATCATTTCGACCCATATACTAATTCATGTTGACACTTATGAAGTATTTGTTGAAGGCATTTAGTAAAAATGTTGTATTTTAGTTGAATATAACAATTAATTACTAAACTATGTGTGTGTTTAATCCAAAATTTTATCTTTTAAGTCAACTAACAAACTCATCCAAAATTTCTATATTTCGGTCCATCCATTAACAATAATCTTGATCTCATGATTCCCCTGTCAGCTACAAAACAAACATTTCCATTTTCCAAAGATCACTAGGCCCTGAAAATTACCACAAACAGATCCAATTTTAACTTGGTAAAAAGAAGCTTCTAATCATACTTTTACTTTAAAATAAGGTCATAAACTAGAAAATAACAGGGTAAGAGTTAGTTGATCATAACCAAACCTACCTTAACCTTACTGGGGTTTCCAATTCACAAGCTGCCAAAAGATGATCACGCCTCTTCTCAATGAAACTTTCCCTTAATTCTTCAAATCTCCCTTCTGTAATTGCTTCTCTAATAACTCCAAAGAAGGACAAATAGTGATGTGTATTATGTCTGCAAGAACAACAACAACAAAAAAGTTCAAAAAATATATTGGGAATGACAAAAGTAATAAATTGAAAGGATATGTTTTTTTACATTTCAAGAAGAATATGAGCCAACATCTCATGGACATTAAGCAAATGATTGATGTATGCTTTGGTATGGTTCTGGCATGTGTAGCAAATGCACCCATCAACAATCCGTGATGCATCTTTCCTGCACCAAAATAATAAGTTATTATTAATGTTTTTCTATCATATAATAATAACTAATTACTTATAAATGATCCATGTCAAGTAATACTATACCTATAAATGGTTGCTTTTAGATTTATCTTTGTGCCATCACTAGCCATAGCACTTATCCCGGGGTCAGACACATGTTTACACTTTCCATCAAGTGGGAAGACAAGCGCAAAGCCCCCAAGGGTAAGATGGTAAATATACCTTTTCAAACACTTGTATCAGCTTACAGTCAACAAAAAGGTCAAAGCAGTTATTGAAACCTACTTACGTGGAGTCAAAGAGGTCAATGCCTGCAGCAATACCCTGCAATACCTCCTCTGCATTCATGGAAGAAAGATTCTTTGGTTAATAAAAGAACAAAATGTCAGCTATATTACTTTCATACTTCATGAATAATAATAAAAAAAAAATTATAAGATATGTAGACAAATGTGGTAAAAATAATACCTGGAAGTCCAAGGCCACAAACATGGCGAGGCTTTTCTTTTGGTAACAAGTCCTGAAAATAACCATTACATCAATATTTCTTCCCATAATTACATAAAACTAGTATTAAAAATGCAGAGTGTTAATTAATACATTTTCCATATAATTAAATGGAATTCTTTAAATGTAAGTGTTTCTGATAACAGATAGATTATAGTAATAGTACCGTAACAGCATGCAAGAGTGTAGCCCGTTCATCAACACTATCTCCAAGCCCAAAACCGCCAATATAGAAACCTGGAATGCCACATAAAAGTGATTACTTTGATTAGAATTTTCTTTTACAAAATGGAATTTATAGTTTTTATTCAATAGCTTGAGGATTCAGTGTGCTTTCTCTATAAATCACTTAAGAACACAGCATACCGGATACGTTTCTCTTAGCTACCTCTTGAGCACAGCGTTGGCGTTCTTCGATACTGCATCCTCCAACAATGGATCCAAAAAGAGCTCCATCTGTCTACATTTCACAAATTATTACAAGAAATTTTGTAAGGAATAATGGTGTTCATATGAAAAGTAAGATGGATTACTGATTTTAGAGAAATGCAATCATCAAGCCATTTGATAGTTCGGTCAACAGAAGCTTTATTCCTCTTTGTTGTAACTGAAGCATGTACTTCATCAGCTAAACTGACCCACAAGTCTGGTTTCATTGAAGAGATCATCTTCATGTACTCCACAGGTTTCACCTGAAAAGATACAAAGCATTATGAGTATGATGGTAAAGGAATAGAAGAAGAACGGGTATAGATGATATGAATTCAAGGGAGGTGTTAGGGAATTGCCAGGAAACGCCCACATGGAGTCTCAAATGATGCTCCATTCTTATTACTGCTATTACATTCTGGAAGAGATAGAATGGAATCCCTTGGAACAGCAACAAATCCATATTCATGCAAACCAAGAAGCTGATGCACTCCTCCAATAGCTGATATTGTCTTCGAATTAGGACCCTCCATACTGCAAGATAGAACAAATGTAGAGGGGTGGTCAAAGAGAACAATATATTCCTACCAAATTGATTATTTAACCCTTCGATTTTACAATTTCACAATCCATGAAGCATATCCAGATCCAACAGATTTTAAAACCTATTTTTGGGGAATGAAAAGTTATGGATTACTTACAAGTGCATGGGGCTAAACTGAAGGAGACGAGAATCGGGATTTGGAAGGGATGAAAGGTGGTCAGGGGATATGAAAGCAGGTAAGCCTTTGCGAGTTGTGAGGAGAAGAGCTGGTGTCTCTATCTCTATCTCTTTCGCCGGTGGTCCTCCTTGCGCAAAGCTACTGCTGGTAGTGCTTAATTGGAGAAGGCCCACCCTTGCCCGCCCGCTTTTGCTCCACGCCTTCACCGCAAACTTCATCTTATGAGTCTCTCGTATGCTCTCTTGCAGTATGCCGTCGAGGATGCGTTCTCGCCGTTCCGCCTGTGGCATCGATTTTTTAGTCTGTGGCCGCCGCCTGCAAAACTTTGGAATTTTGGCGGAAGGTTTTGGGTTTAGCAACCAAAGTCGAGGCAAAAACACATTTTTTAACTTCTATTCTTTGACAAAACTGCAAAATATTAGTGCTTATGGTTTACGAAAAACTTTGGAGGGTGTTCAAAAAGTTCTCAACCTTGTATGGGAGGTTCAAAATCAAAAAAATTTTGTGATTTTGGTCCAAAAAAACTTGAAAAGACGATTATACCCTTTTATTTTTTATTTTACATTTTTTATAATTATCCTAATATTATTTTACTTCAAAAATAAAAAGAAAAATAAAGAATTATCCCTTACCCCCACCGTTCTCTCTCTCTCTCTCTCTCTCTCTCTTAAAGAAAAAGTCAAGAAAAATCCTGATCCATCTTCTTCTTCCCTTTCTTAATTAGATTTTCTGGGTTTCGAGTACTTGCAAATTGTCCAAAATTAGTACTTGCTCCCTCTTCAAATCGTTATAACCAACAAATACACAAAACACATATATATAGGAGGTGGAGAAGGTATCAGATACTGAGTCAACTCTAATATATAATCAAGATAGAGGGAAAGGATCGAGACCAGTTTGCCTCCTTGATATTCAACTAATTTTGGTTCTACTACTTCAATAATTGCGCAATTTAACCATATCCTGAAGAAACTGATTATACAAGAAGCACATTCAGATATGTGATTGTGTTTTCTCCATTTCTCTGTCTGGTCCTCGCTGCCCTCTACCACCATTGGAAACCTCCTTGTCCCTTCATATTCTCCATTTTTCTCTAGCTCTGCTCCTTCATTGACTATCAAATCCACAAAACTGATGAGTATTTCTTGTTTCAGGTGGGTTTCTTGAGTATTTTAGGTTTCTGATGGGTGTGGTGAAGGATTTCATTGTTTCCCTCAAGGAAATCTCGATGGCAGCCACCGTGTTTGCTTAAGCGATGACCCTTGAACCTTCGCCTGACACCGGAGCTACCTTTCCATCGCGGTTTCTAGAGTAATGATTTACCGGTTTCTGGAGTAATGATCGAAACATCTCTACTTCTTTCTCTAGTTGCTTTCTTCCATAATTGATCAGAAAATCACTAGAGATTTATGGAAGATTGATTTTATCTTTGAGTCCCCTCTTTGCTCTCCTGATTCTAATAGTTGGAATGGTAAAATCAAGGTTACCTTTTGAATCAGAGTGAATGGAGAAAACGGGTGTTGTTGCTAGTGATGAAAGTCGACCCAATAACCTTCATTCTCAATTTCACTAACTTGAAACTTTGTCTCCTCCAATTCCATTGCTATGAACCACCATTGATGGAACCCTAGAATCACTCGACTGAGTGATTTCAAATAGTGAAAATGACTGCAATTTGGTCAAGAAAAAAATTCAAAGAAGTAAGATACAGGTAGGGCGGTTGTGGTATGTGGCTTTAGGGCGACGATAGTCATGGGTTCAAGGCAGTGGCGGTCCTGTGGTGGTGGATGGAGGTCATGTGTTTTAAGTTTTTGACTTTTTTTTAAGAGATACAGAGAGGGAGAGAGGAATATGGAGATATATATATATATATATATATATATATATATGTATATATATATATATATATAGAGAGAGAGAGAGAGAGAGAGAACGGTGGGGGTAAGGGGATAATTCTATTTTTCTTTTTATTTTTAAAGTAAATTAGTATTAGCATAAATATAAAAAATACAAAAAAAAATAAAAGGGCATAATCGTCTTTTCAAGTTTTTTTGGACCAAAATCACAGGAAGTTTTTGATTTTGGATCTCCCATGCAAGTTGAAAACTTTTTGGACCCTATCCAAAGTTTTTCGCATACCATAAGGACTAATTTTGCAGTTTTGTCTCTATTCTTTCTATTTTAAGATTAAAGTATCGGGTATGGATAAAGACTTGAA